GAAATATATTTATGTTTGTGGTTGTAATGTGACAAAATATGGAAAAGTTCAAGGGGTATGAATACTTTTGCAAACCACTGTAGGTTGAAAAAGATTTGCAAATCATTGTATCCTGTTGTTATTTATATTTTACACAACATCCCAACTTCATTGGAATCGGGTTTGTACACTTTAGGCGTACTTCAAATAAATGTATATTCTGATAGATTATGTTTGATTAGATTTAGTTCATCTGTTCGTTTAACTTCCCAGCTTTATTTTAAAAGCTACTTAAAGTGAAAACCTTTAAAGTGGAGCAAACCCATCTGCTGAAGTGACATGGTTACCAGATTAAGGCAGATTTGTTAACTTGAGCATGTCTCTAAATGTGTGTTTTTGTTGTTTACCAGTCACAGACCTCCGGTATTCCCAGACTCTCCTCGGCCGCCCTGTGCCCTTTGCTACAGCAGGAGACTGTTACAGTGCAGCCAAGTGTCCACAGGTTGGGTTAATCAGTGTCTTGTGGAAACTTCAAACCCATCCTGTTTGTGTGTGTGAATTAAATCTGAATGCCGATTATTATTTTTAGGGTCAGTTCAGTATTAATCTGATCGGCACTGGCCTCAAAGTGGCTCAAACCACCAAATGGACATCTCAAGGCAACTATGTTTCTCTTAAAGTCCACAGATCAGAGGTAAGAAGTTTCAATCACATTCATACATTACACTATGCACCATTAAAGTAAATGTTTTTGAGTCATTTTGCTGTGCTGTAATTATTTGTGTTAAATCTTGGAGATTGAATTGCTTTACTTCTAACTGATTGACCAAAGTGTTCACTCCCCGCATAAAAACTGTCCTTTTTGCCCACTTCTTTTCTCTGTTCCCTTCATCTCGATCTGTAGGACGGAACAAGAATCTACGGCCGCTGTGGCGGTTTCTGTGGGAAGTGCATTCCTCAAGCTCACCACGGCCTACTCCTTACAGTTCACTGAAAGTCAAGCCGAGAGCCAAACGCCTAAATCTGTTTTGAAGACACGAGCCCAGAAACACACAGTCAGAGGGATATGTTGGATCCTGCTGTCGGTTGCGAGCGTGGCGGACAATCATCCGACACCCCACAGTGATGTTTCCTGTTTACGAATGGCAGCTAAAGTGGTTGCAACGCAACCTACTCTGCAGCACTACAGGACCACCATAAGGTGCTTTATTCAAACGTAAGGGGACTAAGCTTCATTAGTTTGGCTGTTGTGTTATATTGTGCTGGTCTGGTATACCTGCTTTGTAAAACAGAAAGGGATACAAGACACAATACTGAAAAGGAAAGCAAGTGGGAAACCAGAAGTAAAGGCCCCGTCACACTATATTGTTTTAGACAACTTATGCCGACGTGTGAAAATTTTGTCTTGTCAATTTTACCCATATCAGCTATATGTTCAATCAATATTCAAAAATGTTTTAGCATTACATATGTAAAGGTCCAAAAAAAAAAAGGCTGGCTTCCAGTAGATTTTTTTTGATTAAATCTTCGTTTTAGACACCTTTAGTGTTGGACAAACTTGTCATAAGTTGTCTAAAACATGACAGTGTGACAGGACAGGAGCCTAACTTCTCTCGCTTTAAAAGCTGTCTTTTGTTTTGGTCATCTGTGGATTGAAGTAGTCAGTTAGTTGTTGTCAATTTGACCTATCAGTTTGACTGCATCCAGAAAAAAAAATTGTTTAAAGGTGAAAACACCCCATTTAAGTAAAGATTGTTGCAATTCATCTGTGACTAAAAGTGTGTAAACTAAAATATTATAATGTATTACAGGGTGAGAGATTTAAACTGCTAGCTGCCGGCTTTCGGTAAATTTTAAAGTATTATCATTATCATCTAATGAACAAAGTAAATCTTTTAAAATGACTTGTAATGATTTAGATCTTTTAAAGTGGGGTTTAATGGAAAGGTGAACAATTAATATTATATTTGTTATAAGTAGCTCCTTGTGTATTTATAATTAGAAATATAAAAACCAGCCTAATTCAAAATTGGCAGCTATTTACAAGTTTATAATGTACTGCAAGTACCGTGTACAATGAGAACTCAATATAGGCACAGAAACCTGGTCTAGTACTCAAAGTTTATCATACATCACAGTGCTGGGGTCCATTCTGACCAAACACTTCTAAGAGATCTGGACAAACTTGGCCCCAAATCCTGTGTTCTCACAATGTTTGTAGATAACCCGGCCTCGCCCTGATATGATGTCATAGAAAACAAGGAAGCAAGTTCTGGAAATGAACACTAAAACTAAATAGAGACTTGTTAATTGTCATTTTTGTTAAAAGTAAATGATTACAATTAATCAAAAAGTATAAAATAAGTGTGAATCTGAAACTTTGGTCTGATGAGACTTGATAAAGCACTTTTTAGGTTCAGTCCATTTACCGTTCAATCAGTCACAAAATATCTGACAGTACGATTTGCATAAAATGCTGTGTAGTTTTTGAGCTTGGTGTTGTTTTAAGATGCCAGGGATCTATTTTGGAACTAAACCAACTCAGATGAACTGTTCTATCAGAAATAAAGCATTTTTCCAACCTGAAGCCATGTACAAGCAGCAGGTTTATATAACCTTTCTAGTGAACCCCACTTCAAAAGATCCAAACCATCACTTCCACATAAAACGCCAAGTACTGTCATCCTTTGTGACTTACCTCATGTCAGAGGTCAAACGTTGAGAGAAGATTTAATGCTTTTAAACCAACACAGATAGTTTTTGCCACCAGTGTTACGGTTCTTACATTCTTCTATCTGTTGTCAGGTTTTCAACAAACACTTTGGCAACAATCTACTTACAACCAGAGCATGACACTGACATAAAAACTGTTAGAAAATGATTTGTACTGTGATATAAAACAATATGCTCATTAGTTTCCAGTGTTAAAGTGTAATCATTTTTCTGTAAGTTCTCATCTGTTATACGTGACAGTATCAGGGTGACGTCTCGCCTCACCCCCTCCGTTAGACCTGCTGTAGGTACTTACAACCCCCTACCTCCCACTAACGTCCATATTCAGTTGAGATATGTAATATATTTATTTAAAACCATATTTATTCTCTACTGACATCAAAATATGATCTGTTTATTGCTGTACTGTGACTACTTCCTACATACTTTGTCCACACATTTACTGTATGGTGTAACCACTAACTAGTTTATTTTAAATGGTGCTTTTTGACTAATGGAATTACCTCTAATCTAAAGAAGGAGAAAAGTGACTTTGGCAGAGCTTCAGTTATTTTAAAAGACACAGCTGAGCTTAAAATTCTCTTTAACTGATGCTTAACCAGCTCGTAGCCAAAACGTTTGCTGCATGAATGTTAATTATATCAGCTAAACTGGTACAGCTCATCAATAAGAGATGCACTTTCAGAAATAACTTATTAAGGCTTCCACTACAACTGCTGTAATAATCTAACAGGCCTTTATACTGTTTGTCATTAAGCTTTACCCAAAGTTAGAAACTAGATGCAGATTTTTTTTATTTCAATGTATTCTGTCTTGATTTAAAGAGTGGCTGAAAATGATAAAAAGCAAATGAGCGGCTTGAAAAACTTTGGCTGTTATTCATGTTTAAGGTGGCCAAATGTTCTATGAGATCTGTATCAGAAATGTAAACAATATGTGATGCACTGTGTGCCATTAATTTTGTAGAAATGTAATCCTGATTTTTTTAAATAACCTTCATGTTTTGTAACTTATGATACTGTATATGTGTATTTTTAATATTCTTACTTGAACTGTAAACAATGTGCTAAACTATTGAAGGGGCATTGTAAAAGCCAGTGTGTTCGTTTGCTATACTTATCCAAAGATGTTTTAAGGATCGCATGTTCATGTGGGATGGATGGATGGATGGATAGATGACAGATGATGGATAGATGAATGGATGGATTGAGTCTGTAAGAACAATTCTGGTGCTATGGTTACTAATCATTCAATTACTGTATGTCCTATTATAATAAGAAAGCAAAGCAATAAAACAAAATAATAAAACACAGATTTATTTTTTTATTTCAATACTCTTTTTATATTTTTATTTTAATTTCATTCAAATGAAGCATTCCTTGCAGGTATGTGTGCCAACTGCCACCTTGTTTTCCAAAAACGTGAAACAAGTGTGAAGTGTTGTGTTAAGGCTCAGTGTGTTGGGCAGGTTATACAGTGACTACCACTTCAAACAGTAGTTTGGTATAAACTGACTAAATTACAGCTATTTGTGTGTTTGCTAATGTTGTTTAGCTGTGGCGGCCATTTTGAAAGTTTCTTTAACGTCTGTTCCATGGTTGATAGGATATCTTGCTAACATGCATCCAAACAACAGACACAGGCAATTATATGACTTCCTACCATAAATGGCAAAATGTTTCCCACATAGTAAAAGTTGTCTGGCCCAGTTCTGGCCCAGAAAAGGTACTGACACTGTGGTAGGCCCAGGTGGACCTACCACAAAGAATGGTGGGCCATAGGCCTAGATGTGATTTGCCAAAGGTTTGCCAAAGGGGGTCCATGCATGAGCCACCACCACATGAACCAGATCACAACTGGGCCAGTTGTGACTCATCTCAAAAACGGCACCACTATTGCCAGATCTGGCCCACTTCTGTCTGCTTTGTGAGATAGATGCTAAATGAGGCAGGAATTTTTAGGAAAATCAATAAAACAATGAGTCCCAAAGCAAAACATTTCACATTATTGTCTCAAAAAAAAGTCTTCTGCATTGCACGCCCAGGAATCATTGAACTCTACCCAACAGGTTGTGTATAAAACATTAAGCTTTTTCAGGCCATGCTGGTTATAACTTTTGGTATTTCAGCAATTTATACAATTTAAGATGTTTTATACTTTTAAATAGATGTCTTCAACATCTTTACCACACTTTAACCTTTTGTTCTGGTTCTGCTTTTTTTTTTTAAACTTCTTTCAGCTTTCTTTGTTTTTTTTTTTTTTCCCAGTTCAGCTCTTTTCAACTTTTTTTCAGTTATTTTTCAATTTTTTTCTGGAAATATTAACCTTGTTGTGCTTCTTTTTTAATTCTTACTGTTAATTTAAGCTTTTTGTTATTTTTTCCACTTTCATTCTACAGTTTATTTATTTATTTATTTATTTATTTATTAGTTTTTTTTGCCATATCAGCTACTACACTACATACTGCTTTTTTAAAATTTAGCTACTTTTCTTTTCAGCTATTTTCAGCTATTTTCAGCTAAATTCACTTTTCTGTGATAATTTACCTTTTTCCTGCTTAATCCTGCAAAAGTGCTTTTTCAGTGACAACCCCTGTAATTTTCAAGGTCACAAAATAAAAGGTCAAGGTCACACGTGGTTCCTTTTGCTGTATGTTTTTCCTTTCTTTTGTCTAAATTTCAGCTTTGTTCTTTTTTAAATATTTTGCTCATAAATTAACACTTTCTGCTTCTCCCAACTTCTTTCTGGTAGTTTCAATTTCCTTCTGTTTTTTAAGCTATATTTTTTAGCAAGTATTAACTATTTTTTGCTAACATTCTGCTAGTTATATTTCAGCTCTACTTGGCTTTTTTGACACATTTTTGATAATTTTCCATTTATTTTTCACCTTCGTTTCCCTACATTTAGCAAACGTCCTCTTTTTAGATTGAACTCACATTAAAAGTTTTGCCAGTAAACCTTTTCAGCTCGACTTTAGCAGCATTCAGCTTTAAGCTTGCTGCAAACTGCATTTCCACAGGACTTGCAAAATCTTTAGTTTCATGTCTAATTCGAGGTTAGCACAGAAAATCTAATCTCAAACTATACCAACATTTTTTTACACTTGAGCTCTGACACCAAAGTGCAACTGACTTTCATTCATGTAAAACAACTTTACTACTTATGTTAAAATGTATAGATTAAATAGGTTCAAATCAACATTTGTGAGTTGAAACTGAAATCTTCTGCAGTCTTCCAGCAGATTTTCTTTCCACCACAGAGCAGGTTTAATAAATAAGGGCACTGGGTCACTGTGGCTTCACTTAGTGGCGCAAGCTGGATTTCCACGACACGACTTTCAGAAACTCACATCCACTTAAGAGTCTCGTAAACACAGCAAATGCTATTTAAAACAATTTCTTGCTAATGGAGGCTTGCGCTTGAGTTGCAGCTGCCAACTATTCGATGACTCATCAAAGTGTAGTGTTTAATCAAAAAATGAGGTAAGCTCCCCTTAAGCTTTGGAAAACTTACAAAGAGATGGAAAATAGGATTTTAATGTCACCCAATGGATTCAGTAATAAAGGTGCTGGTACTTCAGAAAAAGACAAATTGTTTATATTCAGTCTTATCCAGGGTTCATTGCACAGAGATAGCTTTGACATTAAATGAAAACAGATACAGTTCCTCCCATGAGTTGCTTTGATTTCTTGCCAGTAGCCTGCTTTGGTTCCTAAAAATTCTGAGGATTTGGGAAAAGTCCCTGTAATTCCGACAGCAGCTGTTCTCAAAAGCCAGAGAAAAGAAGTTGGGGTGTCTGGGCTACAAACAGCCTCCCTGGCGTACTTGTTGTGAGCATAAACATGGCCTTTTTTTAAAAGAGTGTGCTGAAAAACACAAAGCGGTGCCAAGAGTCCTCATAAAACAAACTGATGATTGACGTTTAGCATGAAGCGCAGTCTGCTTTGAGGTAACGGTGCAGACATTCCAGCAGAGTCAGCAGCTGCAACCTGCCTCACCGGGCAGATGTCCAGAAACAGACAGGGTTCGAACTAACACACTGAAGCTACAACATTTATACCATTTTAATACAAGACTGCCTTTCAGTATGTCTGTAAAACTCATCCCAAACTTCACCTTTCCAAACTTTTTATTACTAAATCTCATCTCATAACTTTAAGGAAAAATTATCAACCACAATAAACCTAGAGTATGACAAATTTCTGAATTATTCCCAAAAAGCTCTACAACTTTCACCCCCAATTCCAGAATAAAGTAATAAAAATATATGTATTTTTAAATTTAACTAAAGAGCAACCCCAAGTGTTTAAAATATGACATTACAGCCACCATCAACCAAGAAACATAAGAGAGCGACACTCATTCAGATTATGACAAACAATAAATTAAGTTCCATGAATAAATGCTGATAGTTTTTCCATCAAACGAGAGCTTATATTTATTAAAAAAACAAACAATATTCAAAATCAGAACTGGAATTTTGATAGAAATGTTGCTGTCATCCACTATTCAATGAACCAGAGTTTCATCTTTCAAAATTAGAGGGATTATGCTTCATAAAGTGTTTCATAGACATATAAGACTTACAACCATGGCTGCTGAGGCATATTATAAAGGTTGCTGTGGGGGCATTTGGAACATATTTGAATTTAGCCGAAGCCCGAGCTGTGTCTGCATTCTTTGTACCAAAAAACAAGCTCTTTCCTGACACAGGCTAGACTCCACCTGAGTAACCTCTTGTTTATGTTCATGGATCTGAAGGCACAGTTATGGTGAGGAAGGTGTTTGATTTGGAAACCTCATGGTTGTTTCTCTGCTTTTTGCAGATGTTGTCCTGCAACAGGTCCATAGCCAACTGTAATAAATCAGCTAAGACTGTGGTCACAGTTCTCAACTAGATGGAGTGCTGCCTTTGTGTCTTTGCCTCAAGCGGAGAAGCTTGAGTCTTTTGGATTCTTGTTTGTGACTGATGGCGGGGTGTAGCAAGATAGGCAAAAGGACTGGTGGATTTGTGTGTACTAATGTCGCGCATCATGCCCCACAATGTCGTACGAGCTAGGTTGAAAGGCAGAGCTCTTGATTTACATATCCATCAATGTTCCAACCTTTCTTTATCTTCATTATATGAACTCACTGACAAAAACAAGATCACAGATACAAGCACTTGAAATAAGCTTCATCTAATGGTGATTGAAATTAGTCTTAGAGATAGAAGGAGAAAGTCAGTCATGGAGCTCAAAGTAAAACTGCTGCTTCTCCACATTAAAAACCCATTAGTTAAGGTGGTATGGTATCAGATTAAAGTGCCTAGGGGGGTGAGTCTTTGCTGTTGCCCTGCTTCTGCACACCTGATTCAAATCATTAAATTACGTACTCAGAATGTAATCAGGTTTAGCAGAAACCTGTCAATCAGTTCTTTCAGTCAGGTGTGTTGAAGCAGGTAAACATCTAAAACCTGCAGGACAGTGGGTCAAAGGAAAAGGGTTGAAGACCTCTGCACTACACAGACAATCCTCTCTTCCTAAGAAATACTTTGGTGCCATATATCCAGAGAACATTTGAACTGACTATCCACTGACCCTGCAATGCATCAGTTATTAAGGCAGTTGCTTTTAGTTGAGTCTTTTTGTGAACCCTTCTAAAGTAAAGATTATTTACGTTTTTTTAAGTATTTATTAATGTAGGTAAAACCCTGAAGGGTCACGAGTTCCTTTTCACCTGTGGAAATCAGACTGTAATCATAATCAATTCAAACAATCTCTAGCTACTAATACATGCCTAATACATGGTTATTTGAGCAATTACAACTGTATATAGAATAGTTAATTCATGAGTTATTAACCATGAATAAACAATGATGGTTTTGGAAGTAATTAGCATTTATAGGTAAAATGTTGATAACTGTCTCAATTTAAAGCTTATTAAGTATGAATTATCGTTAATGATGTTTTCAAGGTTAAAAACACTTTTTAATTATCAAGTAATAAGGTACTATAAAGTGTTACAGATTATTTTCTACTTGTATCTCATTGAGGACTCAGGCTGATACGATAAACATAGAATGCTGAAGCCAAGTCAACAGATTAGACGTCAGCAAACTGATTTAATTTAGGGTTGTGCTTGTTAGGATATTGCAGAAATTTGTAGAGATGGTAAATGGCTTGAACTTATAAAGCACCTTATCAAGTCCACATGGACACACACACTTTTACACAAGCTCCAGCCACAGCTGCCCTGGGGCACACTGACAGAGGCGGGGCTGCCATGCACCGGTGCCACCGGACCCTCTGACCACCATCAGCAGACAAGGTGGG